TGAGCTACAAATTTCATTAAGAGTATAAAACTCAACCCTTAATTCGTTATGGGATAGATGCATCCTCACCTTAGGAATGGGATTGGAAATTTTTTTCATTAAATATTGATGCATCTTTCAACGACTTCTCTACGATTCGTTTTTCTCATTCAAAACCCAATTCTCAAAATTCGGGTTGGCTATCCTCATAGAAAGTTCTACATTATTGGGCTTGAATCTCATTCCCCTCGATGAGCACTAGACCTTGGACTATATATATAAGAGATTTAACTAATTCTTTTTCTCACTTTTTCACATCAACCCACATGTCTACTAGCTCATAAAATTCGCATTCACATTCCTCAAATTCTCAATTCATGGTACCACAATTTTGATATCAAATTGAACTAGTGAACCACCATTTTCTTTCCATACATGTAGAGACATGTATACAAGAATTTTTAACTCAAATACCATTGTACCTTGTTGTACAATAAGAATGTCCATCACATACCCCTCCTATTCAAGTAAAGTGCTTTATTCTTTTTTATCATACACCATTATACCATAATTGTATAATAGGAATGCATATCACATTTATTTTGTTAAGCACCATTATACCTTATTATATAATAGGAGTGCATATTACATTTTCTTTGTTAAGCCCTATTATACGTGATTGTATAATAGGAATGCTATGCAAAATCTTAATTAGGCACCATTGGTCTCATCACCAAAAATAATACATAGGGATATCACAATGCCTCACATTGGGAGCATATCAAATATGTGATTTTCACATTTCTCAAATAATTGAGTTCATAAAGAAACTCATTTTCTCACAAGATTTCATAAGAGCATATTAGCTCATCTCACATTTTTTTGCCACAAATAGCTCCTAGGTCGTGCAAGCTTAAAAAATTTAACTTAAGTTTCTGGAATATATGAACCCGAAGCCTTTTCCACTTTGGTTCTCAACAACTTTCACACAAGGCCTCATATATTTCACTTTTGTTTTGCATATTGAATCACCTTAAAATTGTTGTTCCTCGTACACTCTCCTCCATCTCCATATCATGTCATTATTGTGCCTCAATCACAAGTTCAAATAAAATATTAATTAGTGAATTTATTGAGAAATATTGATAAAAAAAATATCATCAAAATAGACGTTAAAAGCTTACTTACTTTAAGATGATATATTTAGCATATCACTCTCAAGATTCTACAGCCTTATAATAACAAGAAAGTAGAAGAATGTGGAAGAACTTCCTCTAGTAGAGCAAAAAGACATATGTTATTTATAAGACTCATGGTCATGTAACTCTTATTTGTAGGTTAATGATAATAATAAATTGAATAATTATTATTTAATAATATATTCCTAAGTAAGACAATTAATCTATAATAACTAGTTAAATCAAATTCTTAATGAGACAATAAATTCAATTTATAAAATATATTATTTTATTTTTTATTAAAATATTTAAGTTTGAACAATTATTATACATTTGTATATTTTACATGTGAAAAACTTCTATTAAGATTAAAATCAAGAGACCAAAATAGCATTTTCACCATTTCCAATTTTCCATGCATCCGTATTAATTACCGTTACTCGTTGGGCCTCTTAACGGGACGGTGCTGTACCGTAAAGCATTCCACTAACAACTGATGTGGATTGACGCGTTTCCAACCGCCATAAAGGGTAAGTCAGTCAATTGACCATACCAGTGAGCAAATGACTGAAATGAGGCTTTTTCATGCCTTAAACATAAATTAATTATATGTTTTTTT